CCCCCCCCCCCCCCCCCCCCCAGAAATAAACCACTATTGTATCATCTGCAAATTTAGCAATAGTATTACTAGCATGAGTGGGAATGCAGTCATGCACATAAAGAGTATAGAGTAAGGGACTCAACACGCAAACCTGTGGTGTACCAGTGTTAAGAATAAGGGCTGAAGAGGTATGATTACCTAATCTGGCCCTCTGTGAGTGGCCAGACAGGAAATCCATAATCCAAAGGCAGATTGAATAAGAAAGCCCAAGGTCCAGAAGTTTAGACACTAGTCTTATGTGGAAAAATTGTGTTAAATGAAGAACTAAAATCCACAAAAAGCATCCCCCCAAAGCCCCCCCCCCCCCCCCCCGAGGCTGTTCTAGATGAATCAGAGCAGTGTGAAGAGTGATGGCTATAGCATCCTCTGTAGATCTATTTTTCAATATAGATCTGTCCATTTCTAGTACAGTCTAGTATCTTCTTATTTATCTCTTCATTTTGAGGTGTTTCTTCATCTTTCATCTTTCCAATATTGTGCAAAGATAATACTGCAGTTAAAACATTTAATACTAAATACATACTTGTCTTATCAAGTTTGTTTGATATCATCCCTAATAAAAATAGTTCAGGTTTAAAATCTACATGTTTCCCTATTATCCTTTAACAAGTTGCTATTGTTAATCTATAGTTCCTTTCCCATAAATGTTGCCATTTTTCTAATTCTATGTTATAACCAAAGTTTTTCCCCATTGTACCATTGTGTCCTTTATTTGTTCATTCTCCATTTTTAAATTTAACAATTTATATACTTTCTTAATTAATTTTTCATCAGAGTTCAACAGTATCTTACCAAACGGTGTTTGTCCTTTATAAAACCATGCTTTTTCATATCTATATCATATCTTGGCTGTATTTGCAATTGAGACCACCGTGATAATATAATTTTTCTTCTGATACACCCAATACTCCCTTTAAGGTAGTAAAATGGAAGACATTTACTTCTTTCAACTACTGTACAACAAATATTTTATCATTCGCGCATTTTAAAATTTCCCTATCTGTTTCCCCCTTTTTAGTAAGCAGAGGAGGCACCCAGATTAATCACTTCCACTTGCTTTTTCACCTTTTTGTCACAACTGCTTTTGCTCACCTTTCTGATCCCCTTTGATATTTTATGAATTACGTTTCAGATCCATAGTGCTCATTGTGTCATACACAGATTCGTTCCTTAAGCAAGGGGTGGACTTGAAGAATGTTACAATTCTATGGAACCTGTTCATTTCATTACATACTTATTTGACTCAGCAAATGAGAATGTAGTTTCTCAAGTTCATATGTTTGTCAGAAATTCATTGAAGATCAGGCATCTAGCCTATACCCCCAGCCGAAAGCCACACTGAACTTCTGAAATTTTGCTCATTGTGACCTCTTATAACCTTTCAGTCAGAATTCTTCAGGTATGATTAAAAAACTAATCTCTTTGTAGGTTGTGCGACACAATATCATTCTTCCAGTTCACGGATGTGGCCATCCCATACTCAGTCCACATTATGACTACAAATCTACATCATTTCCATTCAACAAAATTCATCATTTTATGATTTTCTTTTTATAGGTTTCCATAGATAAACATTGATGGAGCTGAAGAGCTGGTCCACACTACCATCTTTTGGGATAGATTTTCCAAATGGTAGCGAAATGTTTTGCAAAGTGAAAGATTCCCTGGTTGATGGAATCAAACAGGGAGGGGAGAAAAAGATAGTTTGTGCACCATGTGCTAGAAAACAGCATAAAAACATGCAACTGTATAGATTAAGTTAACAGAATAGTGAATCATTACTCTATCAAATGTATAACAGCAAAGATGACAAGTCGGTTTGTCAAATTGCACAAGAGTCTGCAGGAGATTTATTTGGTTTCTCTAAAAGGACAGCAGAGCTGCTTCCATGCACTGGAAATAATTGCTAAATCTTATTTCTGGCAACAAGGATGGCAAGTATAAACGTTCTATGGGGAGTCAACCTAGGTAATTGGCTTGGGAGAAAGATCTCCCAATCAAGCTACTTCATTCAATGTGGCTTGAACATAGTCTGCACCAAATGCCAAACATGCCAGAAATCACAGGGCAGCCCCTCCTAAGCATCTTGGGAAGGAAGCTAGCATTAAAAAGGAGCAGGTGGTTCCAATACCAGAGAACAGCATCCTGGGTAGAACAGTTTCATGATATGGTTATTGATTGTTCCCTTTCAAAGTCGCATCTTCTGCTTTCTCAGAATATCCAGGTTCTTCCCATCTAATGTAATGAACTAAGAATAGCAAGGGAGAAATCACAAGGATTTTATCTAGCACTTATCCATCTCTTCAGGCTGCAACAGTGAAAGGCCTTCATATGCATAAGGCTAAATCTGCAGTTGGTCAAGAGCCATAATAGTGATGCCTGTTGTAAATCCCGTAATATGATTTGACTCTTGGGGCATTAAAAGAAAAATCTTCACAGAAAACCTTTCTGCTGTCAGAAACACAAAACTAGGCCCATGGCTGCTTGGCAACCTTTCGTGGCCAGAGGCATCTGCAAGCTGCTAAGTCACTGATTGTGCCTCGGGAGGGACTGTGGCTGAAGCAGGCTTTTTATTCTCTATAGGATGGAGAAGGAGAAAGCAGAGATTGAACGGGTACGGAATTTGACTGAGGAAGAACGCCGGGCTGAGCTCCGAGCCAATGGCAAGGTCATCACCAATAAGGCTGTGAAGGGCAAATACAAGTTCCTGCAGAAATATTACCACCGCGGTGCCTTCTTCATGGTAAGCCTTTTGCCCCAAAACTGAAGGAGGATCAAATGTCTGTTCAACAGGCAAACCTGCCCTTTGTCAACCTCTGTACAACAGCTTTGTCCCCATTGATTTTATCTCCCCTGCAAACCCGGCGTGTTGGGGTCTTTTTCCTCTCCCCAATAGTCCTGACTTCCCTATGCTCAGGTGTGCTCTTGCTTCTTCAGGATGAAGATGAGGATGTATACAAGAGGGACTTCAGTGCACCAACTCTAGAGGATCACTTCAACAAGACAATCTTACCTAAAGTCATGCAGGTAAATGGAGGAGTCTGCTTGCCGATTGGGGCCGGGATAAGTTTTGTGGCTCCAACCAGCACTCTCGGCAGTGTCAGGGCCAGGTGAGTGATTCCAGAGACCTCATCTCAATCCTTCCCACGCTTTCTTCTCTTTGCTATTCAGGTGAAGAACTTTGGGCGTTCTGGACGGACTAAATATACCCACCTGGTGGACCAGGACACAACTTCCTTTGACTCTGCTTGGGGGCAGGAGAGTGCCCAGAATACGAAGTTCTTCAAGCAGAAGGCAGCTGGCGTGCGGGATGTCTTTGAGAGACCTTCTGCTAAGAAGCGGAAAGTGACTTGAGTGGGAAGGATAATCCAGTTCCCTTTTAGCTCTGGCTCAACTGCTTTGTTACTAGGGACCACAAAATATTTTCATTGGCCTGAATTGACTAAGCTGGTGCTGGTTCAGCTTAACAAACTCTCCTTTAGATCTTTTGCAATCCCATTTCTAATTTTGACCGACTATAAAGATAACTGCTGTTTATAGGAACACTGTTTACATAGTGGGGAGGGACAAACTATTAAATGATCCATAATTTACTAAATGAACCATATGAACATCATACAAACATCATTTTAGTGCTTGTGTGAAGCTGGTTTGTCTTCTAACAGGAAAAAGCCCCCTCCTTGTTCTGCTCTTATTGAACAGTGGCAGCATCAGAGGATTGTTTGCAAATAAAACAATAGCATTAGAGCTTGTACAAAATTCACTTTCCAGATTATATTGGATTGTTCCATTTTTATTTTGGAATCTGTTGATCTCACAGTGCCAGGGTTGATTTTATAGCTGCAGTTTGGGAAATGGAACAGCTGGCCCCACTGAATTCAGTAAAACACCACTAAAAAGGGTACAAGTAATGATAAAGTTGGAATAAAGTTTATTTTTCCTATCTCCAGATGTTCCTCTTTACCTAAAAAGCGCAGTCACAAGAATCCAATAGCCCTTTTCTGATTTTCTTTGCATTTAATTAAAAATTTCATATGTAGAAAATATGTTCAGTAAAATTCTTGAAGGGCCCATTTAAAAGCAACACTTTGGTTAATTGGGGGAAGATAACTGGTTGATCTGGATCAATATAGACACAGTAAGTTAGAAAATCACACTTTTATTTAATAACTTCAAAATGTGTCGTACAGTGCATAACCTGCATAAAAAGGCCCACCAAGTGTTTTTTACTTTCTCCACAGAAATACACCTAGCAGAGTTCTCAGTTGGTAAGAGTGATAAGTGCATCCACCACATTGCCCATGTGTTCTCGTAAGCTGCGTTCTGCTGCTGCCCTAGATATCTCCATCTCATTCATCTAAAAAGAAAAAAGAGAAGGTAATTTTTAGCCAGTACAAATTGCAGGTATCCACACAGACCTTTCTAAGATGTCAAATGCCTCTGTTAAAGTCAAGCCAACTTGTTAGCTCTATGCTAGACTTACAATCAATTCCAGATCCTCTTTCTTGATGGTGACTTTTGCCAGTTCTTTTTCTCTACAATAAGGAGAAATGGTTCGGGATTATATTCATCCAAACAATAGTACAGTCCTTCTGTTCCTTCTTTCCCATATAAGTATGCCAGAGGGAACATAACAGAAATAATACTGCCTATACAACAGAATCCAAAAAAGCCCAGAATTGGTCTTCTAATAGCAAAAAGCAAACAAACAAACCAGACATCATCAGACATTAAAACAGATTTATTTCAGCTATTGCAGGTAAGCTCAACCTACAAGAGCAGATCAGTATTTAACGCCAAGTTAATTTCAAATGAATTTTAAACAAGCAAACCTGTAGAAGGGAAATTATAAAGTAATATAAAGTAAACATCGAAAACATCCCATCTCAGTTTAACAGATTAACACAGTTGAAGGGACCTTGCAGGTCTTCTGGTCCAATCTCCCACCCAAGCCGAAGACACTAAAGTTCTCAAAGAACTTCAGGGCATGCCAACCTTCCGGAGTATTCCAACTACTGCCAAGACAAGTAGAGTGATGTAGAATGGTACGTTTTGCACGTGCCTGAGAAAATATTTCACTGTTTTCCTCATGTGGTCACTATCACCCTTAAACTCAGCCATAATTTCCACCTAGGAAAAGCAGCTGAATTCTGTAGTTTTATACCTGTAAGCCAGTGGTGAGATTCAAATAATTTAAGAACTGGTTCTCTGCCCCAATGACTGGCTGGGTAGGTGTGTCTGGGTGGTCATGTGACAGTGGTGTTGCCAACTTGGCTAACCGCAAAGCAATTAGCTGATTTTTTCTGCTGTTTCTGGAGATCACAAATACGGATTCATTAGAAGATTGGGAGACTGGTACTTGTAGCATTGAGCTCCTTGCTTTTGAAATCCAGCACTTTTTGGATCAGTTGCTCAGGCTCAGCAGCCGGAGAACCAGTGGCATTCTGGCTGCCAAGCCCGAGCAGCTAATCTGAAGAATGCTGAATTTCAAAAGACAAGGAGCTCAATGCTACAATGAGAAGTGCCACAAAGCCATCGGCAAGAGGCCTGGGAGGGGAGACACACTATTCAGCCAGTTCACTGAACTGCGCAAAACGAACTAGATGAATCCCACCACTGCTATAAGCCCCAAGCTGCTCATTGGGAACAGAAGTTTGGAACTCACCGCTCCTGTTTTGCTTTCTGCTCTCTAGATCTTCGATCCCCTATCACTGACATGGCCTAGGAAAATCAAAACAAAAGGAAAGCTTAGACTTAGAAAAGTTTGCATATATAAAAACAGACTATGTAAGCAGGCATTGTTGAAAGTTTCACATCATCAAAAAAGTTTTTAAAATGCTTTGAACTCTTTCAGCAATTCTTCATTGTGGAACCACTTGAAACTGCAAAAGGGTAGAGTGGGAAATCTCCATGCACAGCAGGAGTTTCAATAAACCTGAGTCAGAGAATAACATAATTTTATTCTGCAGAATTCTTGTGTAAGAGGTACTCCAGAAAACCAATCTGATTTATCAGATAAATTAGAAAGGTCAGATTTGTATAGGTAGCAAAATCCCAAACTCCAAAGATTTTTGGAGCAACAGCATAACCCTAAAATGTGTAAGGTTTGGAAGCAGAAGCCTAAAATATATGTGATAAAGATTTAAGCTGGCTAAAACACTTCTTGCGTTTAGTAAAACAAAAAAGGTTGCAGATTAGGTCATACGCTTGTGACTTATAATTTACATATTTAGAAAAAATTACTTAGGTTTGTCTAAAACAGTAATATGTTTCTAAATAATGATTAAGAGAACATGGCAAAGATCATGTATTAAATACAGAAGAGCATAGGTGTTTGTGCTAATTTAGTTAGTAGGTTTATTGTTTTGTTTAAATTGTTTTAGACAATAACTATATTGTCTATAAGCTACCCAGAATTAGTTGAGTTGGGCACTATAAAATTAAATGAATTTGAGTGCAGGGGTGATGTAGAAAATTAAGTGTAAGCTTAATTATGGAATAGATTGTGCGTTGAGATGTATGAATTAACCTCCTCTACATCGCTGTGGGTGCACAGACATGGTTACCTTCTCGCGCGTGGGAATATGGACAGAACTTGAAATTAATCGGGGGGGGGGGGACTAATCTTCCACCCCGCATGAAATTCCACCCCAGGAAAAAGAAACGGCACGGGACTAGTCGGGCGCGAAGGCCGCTGCGTCCGGGCCATTCCAAGAGAACAGAAGGAACGGGAAGGCCGGCGGCCTAGAGCAAGGAGCGGCCAGGCGGGGCGCTTCTCGGAGGCAGCGTGAAAGCCCGACGGGGCTGGGACCCTTCCCGCCTCCCCATCGGCCCGCACCGTTTCCAGGTTGGAGCTCTGGATTTCTTTCTCCTCCGCGTAGTCGGTCACGCGCTCCAGGTCCGCCGCGCCGCTGTCGTGTTTCCGCGGCTTCTCGGCCGGTCGCCCGCCAGCACCATCCCCGCCGACCGCAGAGCCGTTGGGCTCGGCCTCCAGCTCCAGCTCGACATCCCCCTCGGCCGCCATCACCCTGCGCCTCCGCAATGACGCACTTCCGGCATGGCGCGCTGGGAACACCCGCAGAGCTCAGAAAGGGAAGTCGCGACGTGGCTTCCGGTGGAGGCAGCTACCGCTTCCGGCTGGCGGGTGGGAGGGGGGAACTTGGCGGAGGTGGCAACGGGGCCGGGGGGAGGGGTGAGACGGGACCCGGAGGAGCTGCCAGGCGGAAAGCGGCGGCTAACGCGGAAGGAGGCTGGCGGCCAAGGCAGCGAGTTTCAGAGAGAAGCTCGGGCGGTCTCGGCCTTCCCAGTCCGCGCGGCGTCGGGCTCCGAATTCAGCGGCTGTGGAGAGCGGGGAGTGGCTGGAAGGAGCCGGCGGGAGAAGCCCCTCCGCGGTGGAGGCGGAGATCGCGGGGCTGAAGCCGCGCAAAGGCCTTCCTGGCTGCATCTGCAACCCGCCACCCATCCAAGGTTAGAAGATCCACAGATCTAGAGCAGTTTTTAAAGCTCAAATGGACAAAAAACCGCTGTGATCCTAAACCATTCAAAGTTGGGGACCACGTATATTTGTCCACAAAGTTCCTAAAACTATTGCAGCCCTCTAAGAAACTGGGACCAAAATTCATTGGCCCATTTTCCATCTCCAGAATTATCAACCCTGTTAATGTAGAGCTCCTACTCCCCAGGACACTTAGATACATCCAGTATTTCACTGCAGCCTACTCAAACCAGAGATTACTTCAAAACTTAGACCCCCCCCCTTCCGACATCTCCAACTCCCATTATGGTACATGGGGAACAACATTTTGAAATTAAAGATATCCTTGATCCGCACACTCTCTAGATCCACACAGTATTTAGTAGCTTGGGAACACCTTCCTTCCTCAGAAAATGAGTGGGTAGCCAAATGACATGTAAAAGCACCCACATTACTACGGAAGTTCCACCTGAAATACCCTCACAAACCATCCTAAGTTGCAAATGTAACACATATTTTATGTCTTCCAGGTGGATTTCTCAATTTTTTGAGGGCAATATGTCAGATCTGTGTATCTACCATTCTTCAATGGAAGGGGGGGGGAGTTTGATAAAAGTGATCCTTTTTTATGTAACCTGAATATCTTAATTCTTGAATTGAATCTGTATAACTTGCACATGATATACAACTGGGGATTGGAGCCCAGATGCCTAGAAACTTGTCACCTCTTGGAGAGATAGCAAGAGAAGGGGCCATAAAAATTCCAGCTCAGAAAGAAGCTTCCTGGGAAGCTCTTCTCAACTACATTCCCAGAAAAAAAAGGGGGTGGAGGGGAATTAACATGTTGCTTCTTTGTATTTGAGAAAATCCACACTGGACTAGGGGGAAGGGTTCTTTATCTAAGCTGCATGCCTGGAGGCATATTAGACCCTGCTTTGTATGTCACCTGGATATCTTCCTTTTCAATAAAGAGTTCCTTTTGAAATAGCCAGCTTTCAAAAGTTCATTCTTATAGTCTGAAGGGGAGAGTCTGGGCCTTACATACACCTAGCTAATAAAGTATTCCATTATATTCTTCCACAAGTTGCAGGATGGTAATGAATCACATGAAAAGGTTAAGATTCCAGCGCAAGCTTGGGGGAAAAAAGCCTTTGGGGAATACCCATTTTCAATGGGCAAGATGAATGACTTCCTAGACTACTGAATCCAGAATGGGAGGATAAATGCTGTTCCTGTATTCTGAAAGAAAGGAGGGGATCAAGGAAAAGGCAGGTCCCCAATTATTAAAACAAATAAAACCTATCACGTTACCACCTCCTGGAACACAACGCAAGACGTACTATTTGGAAAGTGAATTGTCTTAACTTTCATCTCACTTTAGTAGACTTTGGGAATTTTCTAGCGTATCTTCACTACAGCGAAGCATTTGACAAAATGCCCCACTGCTGTCCATTCTCATTTGCCTGCAGTTGACATTGACTTGATGGCACACAATCCTCACCTTTTCATGAACAATCTAGTTTAGGATGGGTTGCATGATTTAGTCAGGCAGCTCCACAGTTGGCTTGAAAAACCACCTCAGAGGCCAAGTTAGAACAGTGTTCTGCTCCAATTTTCAATGAAATCATGTCTGGGTTTACAAAATACACTAAATCCTGATCGTGAGGCCGTTTGCCAAGTTAACATGTACAGCCCCAAGAGCGCACATTGTGGTTTATCATCAAATTGAGACATGGCAAAACCAACAGCATCTGTGTTACTTTATCAAATCAGAATTGGAAGGCACCTCAGAGGCCTTCTAGTCCCAAGCAGACTCTCTTCCATTTCAGACAAGTGGCTGTCCAGTCTCTTCTTAAAAGCCTCCAGCGATGGAGCACCCACAACTTTTGAAGGCAAGCCATTTCATTGGTTAATTGTTCTGTCAAAAAGGTTTAGTTCTAGGTTGGTTCTCTCCTTGATTAGCTTCCATCCATTGCTTCTTCTCCTGCCTTCTGGTGCTTTGGAGAATACATTGACCCCTTTTTTTTGCCATCCCCTCAAATATTGGAACAATGCTATCCTGTTGCCCTTAGTCTATGTAATGCTAGCCTAATACTTGGTGCTTTCATGGCACCCAATGTCTTTAATGAAGAGGGGAAGCCTGAATTTCTATGCTGAATTTTATTTTGTTAGATAGGGCCCAATGTTCAAGACTGTTGAGATCCCTCTGGAATTTAAGCCTTAATCTTCTAGGGTGTTGGTCACTCTTACCTGTATAGCGTCACCTGGAAATCTTCTGTTCCTTCATTTCAATGGTTTATAATGTTGAAGAGTATTAGACCTAAAACAAACCACTGCTGGAGGCCCTGCTTACTTCCCTCCATGTAGTTACATGAAGGTGGTGATGGTGTCTATCCCACATTTGTTTAGCTTATCACAGTAGGTGGTCTACTTTGTCAAATAACTTACTGTAATCCAAGTATATTATGTCCACTACATTTTGCTGATCCACTAATTTAGGCCCTTGTCACTCAACAAGGGCCTAAAGGGACAGAAGGGGTAGCAGAAATAAAGCCAAGAACAAGGAGATGCAAGGCTGGGCGCTGATTTTAATATAGCCTTGGAATTACTGTTTTATTCATATTCTTTTGGCCCAGACACCAGAAAAGAGCTATCTGTCCAAATTTTCAGAGGATTGACATGTAAAATCAACTGTACAAATACTGGTGGGCTTCTTCCAGCAACTTTATGTTGGGGTAGTTCTCCACCTTTCCGTTCCCTGGTAATTTCAGCAGCTAGCCAAGCAGAGAACTTTCCTAACTTCCTTGATAATTCATTAGCCTAGGAATCAACATTGCTGTGTCCAGCTGAATCTTGTAACCTGGTCCACACAATGCAGTACCCTTGTGGCTTTGCTATGTATTTGGGGGTGGAGTGCCCAAGTGGGCTTGTTGCTGGCAATTAAGAGGGAATCCAGAGCTGGTTCCTATTCTGCAGTCAGGCTAATGCATCAGAACTGGGGAGAGGTATGGCCCAGATCAGTCAGAGAAAGCTGCCAAGGTACCTATGGGCCAATGATCTTCTCAGATCAACCCACTTTCGAGCAATGCCATTGTGGAGCTTCACTGCATACGTTTAATACTTCACTGATAATGACTATCTGTGGCAAACTGTTTATGAACTGTTTTGCACTCAGTTTATTTTAGGTTCAAATAGTCCTACTTTGTGCAATACCTCAAAGGAGTAGGTTCTCAGTTTACTCCACACAATGAATCATTTAACAATTTCAGAAGGTAAAAACATGGCTAAGGAGACTGCCCCATCATCAAATTTAATTTACTTCCTTTCCCTACCACTATAAAACCCTAAGTAAGACCACACCTGGAATACTGCAACCATGTTTGGTCACCATACTACAAAAAGATGTTGAGACTTTGGGAAAAAATTCAGAGAAGAGCAACTAAGATGATCAAAGGCCTTGCAGACTAAAACATATGAAGAGAGGCTGCAGGATTTGAGTATTCTAGAGAAAACAATTAGGGGTGTCATGATAGCAGTATTCCAATATCTGAGGTAATGCCACAAAGAAGAGGGGGTCAAATTATTCTCCAAGGCACCAGAGGGCAGGACAAGAAACAATGATTGGAAACTAATCAAAAGAAGAGAAGCAACCTGGAATTAAGGAGAAGCTTCCTAACAGTGAGGACTGTTAACCAGTGGAACAGCTGCCCACCAGAAATCATTGATGGATGTTTTCAGGAAGAGGCTTGACAGTCCCCTTATTTGAAGTGGTTCTGCTTGAGCACTTCATTCACTTAGCCTAGGACTCAGACAGAGGCAGCTTTCAGTAGCCCCTCTTAAAGGCAAAGCCAGTAACACTGGCTCTCCACGCAAGAGGCTCCCTGGTTCCACCATCACACAGGAACTGGGGGTCGGGGGGCAAGGGTTCGTTTATTCGTTCATTCCTCCAAATGTACAAAAAAAATTAGAAAACAACACCCCCCCTCCAGTCCAGGGCATCCATGGCAAGTGCAGCTAAGACACAAGGGGCAGGTAAAGAAGTAGGACAGCAGCCACCGGCTCTCCTCTGCCGGAAGGATTTTGCTTTCCAGCAACGAAGCTGCACCACGGAGCCCTGGCCTTTTTTCCAGAGCAGCCGCCAGGCTCTCTGAACAAGGCTCTCACAGGTCTTCTTTCGGCACCTTCTTCTTCTTCTTCTTGGGCTTTTCATCTTCTTGTAGAATTGGTGGATACGTGGCCTCCCTCTTCAGATAGCTGACAAAGTCGCTCACCTCACGCCCGCCCTGGCAAGGAGAGAGAAGTGAGGCCAAGAGGGAGAGAAGCTGGCGAGATGCAGTCCACTGTTTACACCATCTACAATTCACAATAGTCCCCATCTTTTACCTGTGGTAGTCTAGGAATCCCAGTTGAACTCCAAACCGACTCACAATCACACTCCTCTTCCCTCCTTGGTGCCAAGGCGGAGTTGCCATTATCTTTTTGGGAATGCTTTTAAAAGATTCTAATCTAGTCTATTGCTCGGGTATTTCAGGGTGGTTTCCCTTCCAAGGCCCAATCCAACCAGACCAAATTTCTGCTGCTGTAATGTATATCCCATCTCTTTACCGAGAAAGTCCTGGTAGAAAGAAGCCAGAAAAAGATCTGCTCACCTCGTACTTCTTTGGATTTTGCTTGCTACCAGCAGGAGAAAAGTAAATTGTAGGGAAGCTGCAGCACAAAGAAAGATCCAGTCAGACATATTCAATCTTTTTTGGTAGCAAAGAGCAAACACGAATTTAACTGCTCCTCAAACCTCAATAAATAAATAAATAAAGCTCTTCTGCTGGTAGCAGATGTAGCTCACCAGGAAAAGCCAACAGCAATTCCTCGGCTTCCTTACCCTTTGACTTCATAAGGTAAAGGCACATCATTGGCTGTGGCATCCATCTTAGCTATAACAATGTGGGGGTCTTTGTTAAGCTGAAAAAGATAGGGAGGACAAAACTCTCAGCCCCCTGAGAAAATGGTGACTGAGATACGTATGGGAAGTATGTGAAGTCAAATGCAAAGAGGACACAGTATGTTTTAGCAGGAGAAGGAACTGCTGATATTTCCCATTCTTGGGACTCCTGGACCCAGAAAGGGACTCTCCCACCAGCCCCTTTACAGATAAAGTAACTTCTCCCAAGTTGAGGCAACTCTGGCTTCCTTTCCCCCCTACCTTCTCCCCCAGCTCCTTGTATTTGGGTTCAAGATTCTTGCAGTGGCCACACCACGGGGCATAGAACTCTACAAGCACATCCTTGTTCTCTGCGTTTACTATTTCATCAAAATTTTCAGCCACAACTACCTGAGAAAGACAAGAAGGTTTAAATAAACAGACCAGAATTATATTGAAAGAACCAAAACACCTTATGGTAAAAAAAGCAGCTGCTTTCTCCAGACGCAAACTACCTGTTCTTTCCTTGCAATGTAAAGTATTGTCCAAACTCACATTTGTACAATGGTGGAGTAACATTACCAGCTTGAGTCACTTGTTTGCTCATATCAAGGTGAACTTGGCCCAGTTTCAGACAGCTATTTATGCTAGCATAGAAGTACTGTAAAATTTCATTCCCCTAACCTTCCTTCTATTTGTTTACTTACAGCCATTTAACGTACTGAAACAAGGAGAGCCATTACCATGCTCAATTAAGCATTGTGTTTTGAGAGCAAAATTTTGATTTTTTGTTGTTGTTATGGTGCACTTTTTTCCTAAGGGAATCAGGAGACTATACAAAAGGCTCTGCTTCCCCTATTATTTCAGAAACATTACAGCACCATATAAAATCTCTTCCCCAGTTACTGTGGGGTTAAAGGAAGACTAGCCCCGCTCTCACCTTCACCGGACCATCATTGTTCTCTGGAATAGGCTCTGATTTCAGGTATCTTTTCAGCTTTCCATCAAAATAATCCTGAAGGAATCTCTCCAAGGCTTTACCATCACGGCTGCAAATGGAGCAAGAGCTGCTTCAGCCATAGCATAGACCCATTGGTACTACCCTTAAGAGCTCCTAAGGAAATAACACAGGTCTCTCCTTCCCAGAACAATTCAATGGAAACTTTATCCTTCAGGAACTGTTTCCGTTTCAAAAGAAGGGGAACTTCCAAGTAGAAGCTGTTCACTCCCAATAAAGGAACAGAAATGTGAACTTACGAAAATTCCTCCTGCATGGCGAATTTTTCTCCTTTGGCTGTTCTGATAGCAACAACGGGGACATCACTGGTAGAACCATCAAGCCCAAACTCTGTGAGTTCATGGCCAAAAGTCTTTCGACTTGCAACAGCAAAATTAAGCTTGTGTCCAGCATCCAGGAAACTCCGAGCAACCTTCATCACTCTGCAGAAACAAGGCAACTGTCCTGTTATTGTCAGCTCAAGAAAATTGGATGGCCACGCCAAGATCTGAAGCCCCCCAAAAATACAACCAACTCCACAAGTAAACCTGGTGCGTGGTTTCAACTCCACACCTGCTCAATTGTGAATATTTTGCTAAGGATTGAATTCTACAATACCAGATCACATCTGCAAGAAACAAATTAATGGATTCACCCAAGTGAAAAACAAAATTAGAACACCTGTTTCCCAGGTAGTATTTTTAAATGTGATACTGCCAATAAAAAGAGTGGTTATAAAAGTGAAAGTTATTTCAGGGAAACACCCTGTACTTATTTTCTAAGGAAACTTGTTTTTGAAGCAACAACTCTTCAGACACAAAAAGGACAAGCACAGATCTTTTCTGCTATTGCTTGTGCACCATCTTAATCATTCCTGGTCTATGAAACCAACTTTATATTGTTAACAAAGGGATAGTCACCTATTCATCATCCTGCCTTTAGTGCTTTTTAAAATAGTGCAAGAAAATCCTGGGACCAGCTCCCTACAGGCGACAGGTCTTCAAAGTAACTGCCCAGCTCCTCTTTAGCCATTCAGCAGCAAGCTTGCTCTCTGCCTTCTGTCCGGTCCCCCCAGTCTATCACTGCTTCTTTACCTCACTCCCCACAACAGAAAGTTTATGTGATGACCCAGGGCGTGGCACAAAGGCAACATAGTCAAATAAGCAAGAAGTGTCCCTTTAGTATCTCCAACTTTGCCCCCAATGTCCAGGTTACCTTCAGCTGGAGAAAAAACTCTCCCAAGAAGTCTTTAAGTGGAGGAAATTCAGTCCGAAAACAAAGTACATACAAACTGTAAATAAAAATCCACGCAAACCACGCTGCAGTAATTAACTTGACAGGACAGGAAAAGGAATTTGAGATTTGAAAGCCCAGCAAAGCACACACAGTTGGGAAGACGCCAGGAACACAGATAAGCCTAGGCAAAACCAGATAATTCACAATTTGCTCCCAACAACTTTGCTGTGCACAGCTTCCCTTTTTAAAGCTGCAGCTAATGAAAGTTGCAGTTAATGAAGGGAATCAGGGCCCTTTCCTCCCCTGTAAGCCACACAACTCACGTTGCTCCCTTTTCCATTCCTCCATGCGTGCCCTAGGATGAAGAGGGGGTGGGCCTGGGTCTTTCTCTGAACTCCCTCTCCCCTGCTCTGCCCAGCTGGACTTTGCCCTTCCTCAGTTTCTTCCACAGCCAAGGGAGTCACACACCCACTCCCTGTCAGCTGCTCAGCCTCCCCCTCCAAATCAGATTCCTGACAGGGGCATGACAGTTTACTTTCAGAAGACCTATGTTCTAACAATACTTTTTTTTTATTGGCTTTTGCAACTTGGCTGCAGGGGAACCCTATCTGGCAGATATGGCTTTCATGTTGTTTACTGTTTCCTCCAATAGTCAGATTTCATCTGGAATAAAATTGGTTCATCTGTCCACAGAATCCTTGACATAGAAATGGAAACTTACCTATTGCGCCAATAATTAGAGCCTTTGGGATTCTTTTCATAATCTATGTCATAATAAGCCACTAAAATATCTTTCCCTTGGATCAATTCTTTATTGTCTTCAGTCATGTGTGGGCATAAACCAAAGCTGAAATACAGAAACTCCCTTTTGTTAGTACGTGAATCCCATTCAAACAAACATACTTGCTATAGAAGAGAAACTATACACTCACATGTTCTCTTGAAGAAACTTCTTGATCTTGCCAGTTGTGATTTTTTCTTCTGTATATCGCACAGAATTGTCCTCAAACTTGTTTGCAAGGTGTTGTGGACGGAACATGACAATGCCCCTGTGAAAAGGAGACTGGTGCATTTTGACAGTCAAACACAATCAAGCATCACCCCAGAACACATCTCTTTGGTTCACAGAACTTTAAGAGTCGGAAGGAGACCAAATCAGGCATGATATTCCCCTCTGAAAAAAAAATCGGGGCCGGCCAAAAGAGACCCCCCCCCACCGCGCGCCAAGAAATCGCTGCCCAGCTCCCTTTCGCACCGCCCGCCTGCCCACCGCTCGCACCGCCCGCCCGGCCTCCGCTCGCACCGCGTTGCCTCGGGAAGGGAAAGGCAAAACCAGGAGCCGCTGCTGCCGTTGCAAAGTGCCGCCACGGCTCTTCCTTTTTGCCTTTCCCTTCCTGAGGCAACGCGGGACTGGAGCCACGCAGAGCCGCGCCGGCGGTAGCAACTCCTGACTCGGGCCTCCGAGGGGAGGGGAAGAAGGAGAAGAAGGGGGGGGGCGATTCCCAAAAAAATCGGAATTCCGATTTTAATCAGAAGAATATCATGTCTGGACCAAATGCAATGCCCTTCACACTGCAAGATTCACTGAACCATCATCCCCTACGGATGACTGAAGGTTCCTCCAGGACAGGACCTCAGTCCCTGAGCAAGTCTCAGCTGCTTGAGCCAATTCCACAGGGAGAAGCTAACACACAGCCAGCAAGCACATCAAGTTCTGACTTGCCTGCACCTGCAGATGGATAAACAAGAACCAGTCCAGAAGGGACTTGGCAACTTGTGCCCCTGTATAAATGTGACACCCCACCTTTCACAGAAGGCTACTCAGAGCAAGGCTTAAGCATTCTAAAGACCTGTGTCATATATGTGACCCTTCAAAGACCAAAAACAATAGTAAAAACTCATTCACGTAAGTTAGCACTATAAGTTCTGCACTTTATATTTTGAAAATATATAAGCAGCTTCTAAAGTTGATTGGTCGGCAATCACACAAAAATATGAACAAACCTCATAACCTCTATAACCTTTTAACCCAAATCAGGAAAATACAAGGGCAACCACTGAACACTTACTCGCCATCTGGTTCATATTTCTTAATGAGATCCTCATCACTGACATGCCCAAAGCGGTAATGGTCCCTCAAATTGCTTGCTGCTTTCATGTATTCTGAATGTGCATCACCGAACAGCTCCCTGAAGAATCCTGTAGTTCATAAGAAATAAATAGCTAAAAGACACAATGCATGACTGTTCTTTAAAATAACAAGAAATTCAAGCCTATCAAAGATTTAACATCCCTCACTGTTAAACCTTTGTTAGCTGTTTATGTTATAGATGAGAAATATCTGGTAAAACCAAAAGTTAGCATTTTATTGTTGAATGTTGATAGTATCACTTTCTGTGTTGAGGTCTATGTATATTTCATAAGGGGTTACCTTACGACCTAATCCACAAGGAATGGGCCACACACAAGTCTGTCCCAGCTTTCAAATCCCACCCAACACAACCAACCGATGCCTTTGGTATTTTTATTGGGGAGCGTGCCTTGCCAAGACAGGTTCTCATCTGAAGGATGAAGTAAACAGCATTTCCAATAGGAAAACAGAAGGCAAGAGATAATTCACACCAACTGGAGATCAAGTTAACATTTTTTTTAAATGCAGCATACTTAACTTGGTTAGCAAATCATCCCATCCTACCTTTATCTAATCCATAGGTCCATGAAACAATCCTCCACAGAAACAAGAATTTAAAAAAAAGTCACTAATTAAGGTAAGCACTGATCTATATTGTGATCTCCTGCCCCACAGACTACTTACCCACCACAGCAGCATCCTTTTCATTGATGAACTTCTCAAAGCCCTCAGGAGAAAGGGGGACCGAGGCAGGCCCGGCCTGTTTCTTTAGATGGCTCACAATTCCATCTTAGGAGAAAAAAAGATATATTTAAAGGCCACTATTGTTTAGAGACTCACACTGACATGTGCAAAAGCCCCAAGGGAAAAGGCTGCAGTGTGCTGTACACCAATCATTGGTTCAATGCCATTGTTCTGTTATTATAGGCAAATATCTTACTCCCACATCTACAAGTAGTCCTTGACTTACAACGGTTTATTTAAAGACCATTCAAAGTTATGACAGCAGTGAAAAACTTATGCCAGTTTTTCATACTAATAGTTGTAGCATCCCCATGATCAAAATTCAGATGCTTGGCAGCTTACTAATGATGGTTGCAGTGTCCCTGGGTCACGTGATCTCCTTTTGCAATCTTCTGACAATCAAAGTCAACTGGGAAGCCAGTTTTGTTTAACAAGTATGTTAGTAACTAAACAACTGCAGTGGTTCACTTAATAAGTGTGGAAAGGGAAGGTCTTAAAATGAGGCAAACTCACTTAACCCGGGTCTCACTCAACAGAAATGTTGGGCTCAACTCTGGTCGCAAGTCAGATTGTCTGGAGCGACCGGACAGTTTCCAACACCAGCCCATTGTGACCATCGAGCTGCAAGGGGAGAATCCGGAGCCCAAAGCCGCAACTGGGAGGGGGGCGGGGCACGATTTAAATCTGCAGCAGCCCCACGGGTGCTCAAGAGGGTCCCGGGCAGCCAAGGAAGAGAAGCGCCGCCACACGCCTCCGGGGTGGGCAGCAGACCCACAGGAGAGGTGCGGAGCCTGCAGCGGGACTCTGGCCAGGCGTCCCGCAACGCCCCGGGGCCAGAAGCAACCCGAAGCCCCCCCACAAGGGCCTTGCAAAGCTCCGAGGGCTCGAGCAGCCTCCTCGGGGGCCGCTCACCGGCTGTCCTGGGCCCGTCGTAAGCGCCAGACTCCTCCCCGTTGCGGAAGATCTTCAGCGTCGGGTAGCCGCTCACCCCGTACTTGTTGCAAGTCTCCGAATTGGCCGTGCAGTCGACCTGGGAGGGGAGGGGAGGGGAGCGCGTTGCCGTCCCGGCCAAGACCTCCGCCTGCCCCGGGCTCGGCTCCCCAGCCACGCCGCGCCCAGGCCCCCGCGCCCACGTACCTTCACCAAGGGGACGATTCCCTTCAGCCGCGTGGCCGCCGCCTCGTACTCGGGCGCCAGGCGCTTGCAATGGCCGCACCTGCAAGGCGACGCAGCCGGTCAGCCCGCGCCCTTCCCCCCCGCCCCGCGCCGGGGCCTCGCGGCAGCCAATCCACGACCGCCCGCACGCCGCGGCAGCCACTCAGGAGAGGCCACGGCAACGACGCCCCGCCCCCTGGCGCCCGGGCTGCAGCCGCAGCGCCAGGCCCGCCGCGAGGACGCCCCGCGCCTCCCTCTGCCGGAGCGTCTCGGCGGGCGAGGAGGCCCGGGGAACGCCGCGCGGCCGTCCCGACTCACCAGGGCGCGTAGAACTCGACGAGGGCGACGTTGCGGTCGGCTAGGCCGCTGTCGAAGTCATCATCGCTCAGCTCCAGCACGTCGGAAGCGCGGGCAGGCCAGGCCGCCGCGGCGAGAAGCAGCGCGAGGAGCAGCGTCGCCATGAGACCCAGCGGAGAGGACGGGCGGGAGCGGCGACGGGTTTCACTTTCCCCGGCGATCGCCTCAGCGCGGGGCTAAAGAGGAAGCGGAAGGCCCGCCCCCTGCGCAGACGGGCCGGATCCATCGTGTGGCATCCGCCCATTGGCCCGAGCGTCTCGGCCGGGGTGGAGCTTCCCTCGTCGCCGGGCGACGATTCGGCGCGGCGCGGCCCGCCTCTCCTGGCTCTCGGGTTCGCGCAGGCGCCGTGGCGCGGGGGGGGGCCGAGGCTAGGCCTCGACGGGAGGGCGAGGCCGCCTCGGCCGTAGGCGGAGTCCCGGAGCGAAGCCCTCGCTGCCACCTCAGCCGCCTAGCCGGAACGGGTCGGCGAGCCTCGGGGCTGCTGCTGCTTCGGGCGGCCGCGGAGGGTCAGGAGAGGCGCAGGGCGGGAGAGGACGGGCGGAGCGGCTCTTTCCGTTCCGCGGAGCCCGGGGAGTGCAGGACGGGGCCCTCGGCCGCCCGCTCTCCGTTCGCGGAGAAGGCGGCCCGGCGTTGGGGAGCGGGCTGGCACGGAGGCGGCTCTGCTGCCGGGAGGAGAGGAGCCGCGCCTGTCCCCTGGCTGAGGGCAGCTGCCCCGAAGGCGGAAGCGGAGGAAGGGGGCCGGGGGTGTGAGAGGAGCGCCTCCCACCTTCTCTCCTAACTCCGCCATAAAGTTTAACGGCCCCTTTGCACTCTCTGCCTCTCTTTAGACAACCAAGGATTGGATCCGCTTTTTTGGCTGCTGCCACAAATTCCTGGCTCATCTTGAAGTGGTCGCCCACTAGGACTCCCTCTCCCCGGGACTGTCTTGGAGCCCGGTTTTGCTTCGTTGGCTGCGTCCTGCCAGCTTCGTGTCATCGAGTCCCCTTGCTATTCCCTCATTTTTCCATCTGGATTACCCTGAAAGTTTAGTAATTCTTCACTGATAGTGTATGGATGAGTTGCAACACAGAGAATTGTGTACTAAGACTTGAGTAATTTTGACTATAATTAATACGTAATAAGATGTTATCAGAAGACTTATAATATTTTAAAGTGTTACTTAAACACTTGATTGAATACCATATATGTCAGACTTTTGAGGTGGACAGGTCCGGAAACAACACAGGAAATATTAGAATGCCTCTTTATTGATATGGGATGTGATCAAATCTTAGGATCTGATCATTTCTCTTTTCCTTCCTTTTATATCCAAGCGAGACAAACTGGGCCAGTTCCAAGAGTCTTCCTTGCTTCTTCCTGTCTTTCCGGTTTAAGCTGGTGCATATGCAATGGCTGCCAGATCCTTCCTTCAAGGCAAGCTCCATCCCCTATATCGGTGGTCACCAATCAGTGGGCTGGGGACCACTGGTGGTCCACAAGAAAATTTTGGTCTGCAGAGAAATGTCACCCCCAAAGGACCCCTCCCAAAGCAATTAATCCAGGCTGCATGGGAACACAAGGCTGCACGGCCCACATGGCCCATGGGAACACAAGGCTTGCATCGCTTGTATTGCGAACAACACAAGGTAGTGAGAGGAGGGGGGGGAGTGCGGAGGGGGGGAACTTGCCCACTCGCCCCACGCACCTGGCCTGCCCACCGGGCTGCTTCTTTCCGCTTCTGCTTTTGGCTGCACGCAAGGAAAGCAGCAAAAGCCTTTTCCCCAAACTCCACCAGAAATGAGTCTTTGGGACCCTGCAAGGCCTCCTGCTCCAAGAGGCTGCGCCGGCACGACAAGTCTCACAAAGATTCATTTCTGGTGGAGTTTGGGAGAGAGAAAGACTTCTGCTGCTTTCCTTGCATGAAGCCTAAAGTCTGTCTCTCTCTTCCCCTGAGAACAGAGCTAGAGATGGTATCCTGTGATCCCAAATAAAGAATGATCGGTAGGAAAACGGGGTGGGGAATTTTCCTGCAGACTTTTTGGGGGATTTTCCCAGGGTCTCTGGTCCGTGGGATTTATTATGAATTTGGTGGTCCCTGAGGTCCAAAAGGTTGGCAACCCCTGCCCTATATCACTCCCTTCTTCAATGCAGACTCCTATCCTGGCACAGCGTTATTGGAAGCAACTCTATTGGCTCCCCATTCCCTCCCTCAACCCTGCTTGGCTGTTGCCCCTGGTTGCAGACAAATCTTGTCTGCGGGTTCGATGGACTGCAAAGTCCTCTCTTCCCATTGCAGGATGGTCCAAAATGGAGAATTTACCAGGGCAGGAAGCACAGAGGGCCCTTCATCCTGAGGTTCACAGGGATGGGATTTGGGTGAGAATTTCAGAATGAACTTTCATAAAAGCCAGCATTTGGAGATCAAACATGACTGGCTTAATTTACTTCATAAATGGGAAAAGGCCAATAAGCATTGAGTTCAGCATTTGGGGCAACCAGGCCGAAGGCAGACAACATAGCAGAAAGCTACATCAAATCTCTAATGGCAATCTGGGCACCCGAGTGCTGGAGGCCTGCAGTTCCCTTGCAGGTGACAGATCAGCCCAATGGCCTGGCTGAGGAGAGACAGGGCCCCTCTAGGGCTGTCCTAGTAATTGAGTCTCCTTTCTCTGATCCAAATGGAGGGAGGCCCACAATCTGAGAACCTATGGTTGACCAGGTTTAATCAGCCGTGGGAGAAAGGTCAGCCGGGGTATCAGGGAGTGCGGAGCACAGGGACCAAAACAGTATAGATGGGGGGGGGGGAGTTGTAGCACCCCTGTGATTGTAAGTTGTAAGTGCACTCCCATTTTGATCACATGACCATGGGAATGCTGCAACATGCGTAATTTTGAGGATTCACTGTCACCTTAACTTTGAATGGTTGAAGACTACCTGCACTTGAAGCCTCCACCATAGAAACAAAGGGGTGTGCCAGAGGTCGAGAAAACTGCAAAAACCGCTCCCCTTGCCATTTCCCCCATTCTTTACCTCCATCCATTAAAACTGGAACAATTCTTCCCAATTTTTTGAAGTGCGTTGTCTTACTCATATCTCAGCTGACTACCAATCCATCTCAAAAATGTTCAGTCAGAGCTCAAGTTCAGTGCAGGAAAAGGGGTGAGTGCAAAGAGGCCCTCCTGGCACAGCTGCCATCTACTGTTCAAGCATCTCAGCTCCTGCCCCAGAAAGTGACGGGTAAAGCCATTTTGACTACATTTCAGAGACAGCAAAACTGACTACTTTGATGAAAGACAAAAGTCCTATCTAACTTTGTTTCCACATGGAAACCACTTTTGGACTGGATAAAGTTTTGATTTTGGGATTTGATGATTAGATGTGTTGTGGTTATAAATATGTGTTTTTATTAGATTTGTATGCTGTATATTTTTATGTTTAAGCTTAAACCCAATTTTTCCTTTTCTGTTTTGTATTTTATCTTTGAAACATAATAAAGTTCAATTGAAAACTATTTTCTATTGAAATTGACTATAATAGCAGAATCTTGCAAGACTGATTGCCATCCTCCTTATGCACCTTATCCTGAATTAGAGGCGCCTCTGCCCAAACCCCTTTTGAATAATTTCTTGTCGTCCAGGACTTTAAAAAAACAAAACACTTCAGCCTTGTTTGGCTAGGTAGCAGCTTCTGCGTAACTCCATCAAGATCATCTTTGCTCTCTACAAGCAGTAGTGAGAATCCAGGAAGACCACCAGGTTGCATCCAAGTCCCAAAGGGGAATGACGGAACTAAGTGTGGAAGCTTCTTGGACCTGGTGTCTTCTCGTGAGGAGCAGCTGTCCAGAGCAGGACTCGCCAACCTTTTGGACCTCAGGGACCACCAAACTCATAATTTTAAATCCCAGGGACCACTAGCCGGTTCTGTGGGCTTGGCCTAATTTGTGGGTATGGATTGGTGGTCATGTGACTGGCTGGGCATGGCTTTTATGTAAATATAAATATTTATATAAATATTGATTTTTTTATTAAAAAAGAGCAACTTTTACCCAAAATCAGGCAAAGTAGGCAGGCAGATTGAGTGGCTCATAGAATCACAGATTCATTCAGAGATCGATCTATCTGCCATTGGCTAGCTCAGTCTGTCACATAAAATTTGCTTGCAAACAAACTCATAAAATTTGCTAGCAAGCAAACTCACAAAATTAACTCACAACACACCATATATGTAAATATTGAATTTTTTATTTAAAAAAAGCAACTTTTACCCAAAATCAGGCAAAGCAGGCAGGCAGATTGAGTTGCTCACAGAATCATTCAGTGATCTATGTATGTGCCATCGGCTAGCTCAGTCTCAAATTTGCTTGCCGAGTCTGCACTGAATAATAGAACCTTCAGTCCTAAGGGAGGTTCGGCTGTGCTTAAAAGCAGAGCTGAAGATCTAGCTAGAAAGCAAGAAATCCAACCATTTCCTGCTTCCTAGCTAATCTAAATCTCCTAGCACAGCAGAACAGCTGATGGTCGGAAAAAGAAAAAATGGCAATTTAGCAGGCAAGTTTGCCGGGTAAGGAGTGGGTGGGTGGGGATGGTTCCTGCGGGCCATGTGGGCGGCTCAGCCTTGTGTTTCTGCACAGCCTTGATTAATTGCTTTGGGGGGTGCTCTGGGCGTGAGATTTCTCTGCAGCCCACCAAAATTTTCTTGCGGCCCAAGGGTTGGCGACTGCTGGTCCAGAGCACCTATGGTGATCTCAAGTCCTCCCCTTGTCTGGAGAGGAACTATGAAAGAGACAACCTACTCACTGCCTTTGTACTACACTCCACTTCATCTTCAGCCCACTGTTTCCTTCTCAGAAGTCCACATATTTGATCCACAGTCACTCTCACCAAGGCTGAACCCAAGTCTGTTCTGCCTCATCCAAGCCTGATATCATTTATATATACTGATGACACCTGATTGCCTGTTAACCTTCCCACATAGATGAGATAGGAAGCATGACTAAATGGACTAATTCTACTTAATTAATTAAGGCTACATTAAGTCTTGCAAGTCTGAAAGTGCAAATATCTCACTGCCTCTTTACAGCCAGAATCATTAATAGCAATAGCACCCTGCTTCACAGTGCTTTCCAGCCCTCTCTAAGCATTTACAGGGTCAGCCTCTTGCCCCCAACAATCTGGGTCCTCATTTTGCTGACCTCGGAAGGATGGAAGGCTGAGTCCACCTTGAGCCTGGTGAGATTTCAACTGCCAGACTGCAGGCAACCAGAGTCAGGAGGAGGACTGCACTGTAACCACTGCAAAAATCCTGAGTTTCTTTCTTTGCCTGTTAGGCAGCTGAGGGCTCCTTCTCCCCAGCTCATCATTCCCTGAGTGGCATCTATTCCCATAGTTTTTCCCACATATTCATTCCAAGAAAGGAGTTCATTTGATGGCATAATATAGACATTAAACAGAAGATGGGGGTGGGAGTGTTTTGCTTCTGTAGGTATCCAGACTCAGTCTCTTTCCCTAAGGGAGAGGAGCCACCACCAACATGCCCCCCCCCCGTTCTTAATCTCTAAAGTATTTACATTTTTGAGCTTATCCTACGAGCTCTACTCCTACCCTCTGGAGCAAATGAGAATTAAGTCTGAACCCCCTACAATATGACTGCCCTTCAGATAGTTGGACCGCTATTTTTCCTGCAATTTAAATGTATTTTGGTCTGTGGAGTCATTGGTGGTTTGCTAGCAGACATTTCATTATTGAACTAGGTAACATCATCAGTGCTATGGGGTTTGCTCATATATACAGTAGCTTCCTGCCAGTGTTGAAGGAGTGTGTTCGTGATATTTCCTTGAATAGAGAATAGTTTTCTGCTTGCTTGTCTGGTGTTAATCCCTGCTTATCTAGGTCTAGGCTCCTGGAGGTCTTTTCTGGTCTTTTTTACTTAGTTTCTTAAATTATCTCTCTTGAATGTGTTAAGTATGGTTTATTTCTGTGTGTCTGTTGATGGTCAATTTCTCTGAATGTCAAGCTTCCAAGATTTCCCTAGCACTTTTGGGTTTAGCTTGGTCTAGCATGCTCTATTTCCCAACTGAAACTGTGGTTGAGTCTGTGTGTTGTGAGATTAGGAAGTTTTCATCATGTTTTCTGATTGCAGGATGGTGCACAAACGACCAGGCTCAGAGAGCACCAAGGACTCCACAGTTCAAAATTAAGCTACCTGAATTCTCTTCTATTGATACCTCATCCTGAAGGTATCCTGAACTTCCCTTGGAACCCAACAGGGTCCATTAGTTACCTAAGCAGCTCAGTCCAATGGTCCCTGCCTTCTACCATGGGAACACAAGAGGGCAGCACCATCAAGCCAAGTTCTCTGATTTTCTGATCTTCCTTCTATGTCTTCCTTTTATACATGTTATTCCTGCCACAAAATCCAAAACACTTCTAAAGGGTGACTTGTGCATGTGCTTGTCCTTGATGACATAGAGAAACTCCATGATTTTTATGATACCCTTCGGAGCTGCACCAGGCCGAATGCTTTTCAGGGACAGATTGCAGCCTCAAGATCAGCCTTGATACCTCACCAGAACCATGCAATGGAATCCAGCGGGACGCTCCACAGCACCAGTACAAAAGCAAAACCCAACTGTTTCCTAAAGCCCAATGTCACAGGGTCTCATAGTTGCATCAGAGCCCCATTCCCCATGCTGGAATAGCAGCTGGCATCAAACATAAAATCCAGGTAGGCACATACCTGAAAACTCTTCTCTGGGCCCAGGCTAGTCAGCCAATTCCTCTGTGGACAGATTATAATCTGGACTATCTGGAAACCAGACCAGGAAGGATCAGGTGAGCAGAAGGCAAGCCACTTTTGGACTCTTGCTTCGGAGCCTCCTCCCAGTCTCCACATTAATGGTATTGAACCACATGACTGGTCTGCAGGTAACACTTGGAGAGAGGGCCTCAAGTATTAATAATTGATTAAAATTGTATGTCGCCTAGCTTGTGACCGACCACTTGATCTAGCAGCTGGACAGAGCCTCCTGCCATGAGGGGCCGAGGCAGCCTTTGATAGCATTGACAGTGGGATACCAAAGAACAGGCCCAGTTGGTGAGAAGGGGGTCACCCTGGCAACCTCTCCTGGGTGGGCCTCTCCAGGGCTCACCCTGCTCTTGTATGGATTCTTATGCTTGAGAAATTTTTGGGAGAGTGTCTCTTGAATGCGGTACCATCTCATCAATTTGCTGAGGGTTTTTGTCAGTCCATTAGGATGCGACTATCCCAGGTTTCTTCCAGGAGGGGCGCTGCAGCCCTAGCTGCTCAGGTCCTGACCCAAACATCTTCCAAACCCAGCAGGCTGGAAAGAATTGGGGAGGGTCTATGTGGGCAAATGGGCTTCTAGCAAATTATATAAACTTGCCAAATTACAACAGCAAGCCCCCACCCCAGCAGCTAAGAAATGAGGCAGGAAGAGCACAAATTGGCATCACAAAGGCCTGTTCTCGACAAATACAAACCTATTTAATAAAACCATTGAAGGCTCCCGAGGTGTCCTAGGAACAGCCTGCCTTTGCTCAGGCGCCACCGTCCAGGGGGGGCGGGCACAGCTCAGCCAAGGAAGCGCAGCCCTGCCATCCCGGAGAAGCCCAGGAGCAGAGCGAGGACTTTGGGCAAGCGGCCCGAGGGAAGATGCAGCTCCTGGGGCAGGATCTCCAGGAAGGTGATGTACAGGAAGGTTCCGGCCGCCACCCCCTCCAGGACGCTCCGCGCCAGGGACCCTCCGGGACCGGCACCGCAGGGCATGGCCATGCCCACCCCCATGCCCACCGGAGACATGAGCGCGAAGCAGGCCACGGCGGCCGCCAGCCAGGGCAAGGCCAGGCGGCTCTGGAGCAGCAACAGGCCCAGGCTGGCCGCAATGATGCACTTATGGAGGACGATCGCGGCCGCCAGCCGGAGCACCTTACTCGGCGTGTCCTGCAGCCCCAGCGCCAGCCCCTCGAAGGCCGAATGCAGCGACAGCGAGACGACCAGCACCAGCGAACGGAAGGGCGACGGCGCGGCCTCGGCCCGCTGCTCCCCGACGGCGGCTTCTTGGCGGCGCTCAAGGACTGGCGTGGCCTCGGCCCCCGGCCGCTCGCTGCAGTCCAGCATCACGTGCTCCAGCACCAGCACCAGCAGGAAGCCCAGCGCCAGGACCAGTTCGGGCTCGGGGAAGGCCGTCTGCAACGCAGAGAAGCCGAGCGTCAGCGCCGCCGCCCCGGCCGGCCAGTGAGGCCGGAGGATCGGGGGGGGGGGGCGTTGCTTTCGACGACGGGAGCGGCTCAGGGACCCGGCCAAAGGCGGCGAGGGGGTTCCCCGCCGGGTCAGCGGCACCTTCAGGTCCTCCCTGGAGTCCCCGCGCGATTCAAGGCCGAGCCGCCCTGCGCTCGGCCACGGGGCCGCTGCGAGTTGCCAGCGCGCAAGGCGCCAGCAGGCGATGCGGTTTGGCTTGTCCTCGCCCGGGAGAGCCGCCCCCCTCAGGTACCGAGAGGCTCTGCCGACGGAGTTCGTCCCGAAGATCGGCCAGCGAATCGGGCATCACGTCCAGCAAGCAGGCGGCCATAAAGACTCCGCCCGCCGCGCAGCTGAGGATGCTTCGCCTGCTCCGAGAGGCGCCTGCGGAGATTCGGGGAGAAGGAGGACGCTGAGGGAGGCCCGGTGGCCCACGCCACCTGCCCGTCCCCCAGGAGACCCCACGCACCGTTGGCCGCGGCCCCGCGCAAGCGGAACAGCAGCGCCGGGAGGAGGCCGCAGAGCAGCGGCAGCGCGGCCAGCGCGAGCAGGCAGCCCAGCTTCAGCGCCTGCAGAGACCACATGGCGCCCCGTCGGATCGGGCGCTGCCCCGGTCGGCCCTTTAAGCCCTCGCCCCGCGCGGGCCCGCCCACCACAGGCCGGGAGCTCAGCCCATCTGGCCGCCCCCGCCCCGCCCCGCGAGGTGGCCTTGTTGGAGGGGCGACGACCTTGGCTAGGAGCCCGCGGCCTCGGGGGTGGGAGGGGGTGGACTGAGGAGAAGTTGACGCGCTTGGAACAAGAGCCTTTGCAGCCCCGTCCGCGGGGCAGGGCCCGAGTTTGTCTGCGGGAGGACGGCTCGGATGTTGCTCCGGTGGGAGAAACCTTCCTTCCGGAGTCTCTTCCACGGACGGTTCCCGGGGTCCGAGAGCAAGCTCCCGAAGCGGCAGTGCGGGCGGCTTGGCATGAAGAGCGGGGGGGGGGGGGGGGGGGGG